GACATTCCATTTGACCCAGCTATTTCCTTTCTTGGTAGCTTCCTGAAAGAATAAAAAACTTCATAGTACAACAATATATGCATACTCATTTTATAGCAGCAGTTTTTAATAGCTAAACCTTAGAAACAGCCCAAATGCCCATAAAATGATGTAATGGGTAAAAAAGATGTGGTTCTTTTATAAAATAGAATACTACTCAGTCATAAAGAATGATAAACTTGAGGCATCCCTGGGTAAATGATGTACCTTGAGACCAACTCTTAAGTGAAAAAAATAGGACATTCATGTGTAAATATCACATTGTTTCTCTGCTGTGAAAAGCCAAAAGTTCAAATAAGGACCAAAATGTATCCTAGATATTATGAAATAGGAAGAAAATGCTCAAAAGGGAAGGAGAACCAAGGAGGGAGGAGGGGGAAAGGAAGAAAGAGAAAAAAAAAGTGAGAAAAGAAGGAAAAATAGAAACAAAGCTCTTGTAAATAAGAAGAGGAGGAGGATTTGAAGGGAAGGAGGATAGGGGAATGGGAAAAAAAGAGGAATTGGGATATATCATGTACAGGTACAAATTCCCTATAACGACTGTGGTCATTATGTATATCTAAAATGTACAAATACCTTAATAACAAACATCAGGTATGTAAAAAAAGGAAAGGTAGCCATGAAAAGATTCCTCTGACTTGCTGAAGAATCAAAATGAGAGAGGACGGCCAGGCCATTAGAGAAAGACCCTCCACACTGCCCTCAACCCCTGGTAATATCTTGTTCTCCGTCCCTTACTGGTGCCAGTAGCTTTGGTTTTGATCATTTTCTACCTAACAATCTCTACACAGTCAGTACCCATTGTCTCTGTTATTGTTAGACAGTGATTTTCAAATGTTTGAAGAAGAATTCACAAGCTATTGGATCAACAAGCATCTCCTGATGAATTCTCTAAACTCAGTTCCATAAAGGTAATAATGAGGAGCCTTTTGTGCTTTGCATCATGCTGTAAAACCACTGCCATTTATGTTAGGACTCACCGTCCCCAGCTGGTCTGACCAAAGCCTCATATTAAATGATTTACTTGAACTACTTCCATTAATCCTCAACAAACCTGTGATTAGTATTATGCATTCTTCCCTTTTATGGATGGGGAAACTGAAGTTTAGAAAACAGTTTTAGAAAGCCTCAGTAGGTAGAAGCCAGATAGCAGTTACTTAATGAGCAAACCAGAACCTCACCTCATCTTTAATGGAAGAGTGTTTTCCAACTTGATCTTGCATCAGAATCCTCAGGAGGGCCTGTTAAAAACATATTTTAGAACCCCACCCCGAGGGTTCTTGATTCAGTAAGCCTAGGGTGGGGCCAAATAATTTGCATCTTTAGTAAATTTCCAGATGAGGTTGATGCTTCCAGTGCAGGGGCCACACTTTGTGAAACATGCACCAGGGCATAATGCAGTAGGTGGACAGCAGCGATTTGTTACCTGTGGATTTGTACTCTCAGTGCTTCCTTCCGGGCCTGGGGGAATCAGAGTCTCTGCTGCTTCAGGTGGGACAATGGCTCATGGCTGTGGGTGTTTACACTTGTGGAGTAGGTGCCTTCTGGCTCCTTCATGGCCAGGAGACTGGGTTTGGGATGCAATTAGAGCCCTTCCTGCTGGTGGCAACAGGTAGCCAACTTTGCCTTCACCAACACATCTGATGGTTTCCATTTTGGAGCCACTTTGGTGACAGATTCTTGAGTACCTCTTGGGACTGCAGTGTTGAGTCCAGTGAGCCCTTTCCTGGGTAGACCTCAAACATAGCCACAGTGAACTTGGAAATCTTTGTCCCTTTCTTTCTGAGACAGGGTCTCACTAAGTCATTAAATTGCCTAGGTTGGGCTGGAGTTTGAGATCCTTTTGCTTCAGCCTCCCAGAGTTCTGGGATCACAGGCATGTGTCGCCATGCCTGCTTACTTCCCTATTCTTAAAGCTCCTGCTGCACCCTGCTGCTCTTTCTTCCAAGACCCTTGTTTGCAAAGCTCTTCAAACTAGCTTGGAAGGTTTGCAGTCAGCCAAGCCTTCTTGCATTCAGGAGGGTGAATTAAGGTAATGATGATAGAGAGGATTAATGCCTATGGGGCCTGACCGACTGCTTAGCAGTTGAAAACCTGCCTGCCTTCTAATCCAGCTATTGTGCTGGGAGCTGGATTCTGTTGTAGAAGTTTCTGAACTAGTTGGTGCCCTAGTTTTCTCACTTAACAAATTAAGATAACAATGTTACTCATTTCGTAGTTGTCCGGAATGTTAAATGACTTATCATATGCAAAAGTCTTAGTAAGGTTTCTGGCACAGAATAAGAGCTTAAAAAGCTTCCCTGGACAAGAGTTCTTGCTGGTGTACATGAAGGTAAGCAGTCCTGGGACATGGGGGAAGGACAGCTGGGTTGTCACTAGAAGTGACCAGCCTTCGGGATTTGGGCAGGAAGTATCTTGGCAGGCAGAATGGGATCCACAAAGACACAAAAGAGACCAAGACAGAGAATGGGGAGAAAAGGAGTCTCTGCCTGTCCCACAAGCCCCTGTCCCCTCCTATCCACCATTCATGCTGGGCTAGAAATCAGAGAACGTGTCATGTTTCTTAGACCAGACCTAGACTCCAAACACATCACCCCTAGTGTGTCTTGCCTGGGCTTCCTCACTCCACGTTTTGGGGTGCAATCCCTGAATCCCTGGAAAAATCACCCTTTTTTAGGTACAATCCTGTTTTAGCCCTCATCACACCCTGTTGTAATTGTGTGTGCGTGTGTGTGTTATAGCCTTTTGTGTCCTTGTTGAACTGATTTTCTCCGTGTTTGTGATGCTACATGACCATCTCTAGATTGTTCACACCAACCACAGAATAGTGCAAGGCCTTGTACACATATGTGATATAGAGGCTTGTCACCCACCATGTGGTCCAAAGAGCAGCAGACTTTTTCTCATCTGGGAAAGGATTAGGAATGCAGAACTCAGGTCCTACCCAGACCCGCTGAGGCAGAAGATGCATTTTAACCAAACCCCATGTGATTCATGCACATTTTGCAACTTGAGAAGACTAGTCTAGTGGTTAAGCAAGAAAGCTTGGGAAACTGGATTTAAATTCTGAGTCTGGGTCTTTCAGATGAAACATGCTTGCCCAGTGCTTGGCAAATGGTAACTGCTCTAAACTTAGTAGCAGTGGTTTTCATCCTGGTCTTCCGACAGCCCAGGAGGGCTCTATGGAGGAAGAAAAGTCACTGTATATCTTCATGAACACCATCCCCCATTTCCTCTCCGTCCCCATAGTGGTGGGGCCAGCTGTTGTCTGGACTGTGTCTTCCTGCATGGGGCTGCCTCCCTCTGAGGGGCACTGCTGACGTGAGTGGCGTGGCTTCCTCTTAGGTGTCAGTCACAGGCTCGAAGCTTCCTGGAGCTAAGGACACCAGCCAGACACAAAGAACTACCCTGTCCCCAGAGCTGAGTCACGTTACCTCTATTCAGACAGGGGATCAGGACAGGTGGGAGACTCTGCAGGCCTCCGGAGATGCCCCAGGCAAAGGGTTGGGTGAGTCACACAGGAGCATGAGTCACACTGTTACATAAGAGCGGATCAAGAGCATTCAAATGTCACACAAGCCCAAATGTGTCCCAGCAGAGCAGGGAGGGGGTGTCAGGGAGGAGACTTGCCTAGAGTGTCCTGCAATCTATATGCCCAAGGATATCATCATCATCATCACCGTCATCATGGTTGATATGGTTGTAATGGAAACCAACAGGTAAATTGCTCTTCGGGGGCAAGGGAGAACTGTGGGTAACTCGCTTTCACAAAGAGATAGAGATTAATTAACACCTAAACATTGAAGATATTAAAAAGCACTAATTCATTCTTAAGAATGTAAGAGCTATGTAAAAACACGTGGAGTCAGATTAAAAAATAATTCAGTTGAGGAAGTAGGTTAATTGAATAAACATGGAAAGAAAGCTTTTGTGCTGATTAAGTTAACAAAGTTTTTTGTTTAACATAAGAATATTTAAAGATTGTACAGGTGGGGAAGGACAGATAACCACCATCAAACCCATGGGCAGGAACCAGTGGCAGCTTTCTGGTGGCAGGATGGCTTTATGTCACACCCACTGGATTCATGCTAATGGTGCAACCGGAAGCAGCAGATATTTATGGTTTATTACTTAGGACAGGAAAACAGTGAAAAGTGTTTAAATTCAATTTTTCAGTTTGATTTTTCCTATAGATTATCAGTCTACTGGCCTTGGAGCTGATGAAGAGTTGGAAGTCCTCAGTACCATATAAAATGCTACTGATAAAGTACCAGCTTAAAAAGTTAGGTAGGATTTTTTAAAAGACGAGGCCAAAGCTATATTACCAGGAACAAAAGGTTGTTTCAAATAAATCACACTAAAATACTTGAATGGAACAAAAGTACTGCCAGTAGTTTTTTGAACTCAGTGAATATGTTCTTTCTTTGTTCATTAAGTTCCGTGGTACATTTTAAGTGTACAATACAATAATATTCATCATTGGGAATTTGTACCTTTACATGATATATCTTGGTTCTTACTTTTCCCCATTTCCCTGCCCCCCCTCAACCTCTCCACCCCTCCCTATTTGTAAAGACTTTGTTTCCATGTTTTCTTTTTCTCATATTTTTTTCCTTTCAGTGAATATTCTCCTTTTTGGGTAAATTTTTAAAATGTCCATATTAATGTTGTTTTTGTAGTATAAATATGTGCTTATACTATACATTAATAAGTACATATCTTATAAAGCTAAACGTACATATGTAAGGGCATAATAATATATAAACAGAGTTATATATGGAGAATATACTATAAATCATATAATAGACATTAAGCCGTAGGTTTAAATTTGAAAGAAGGAGTCTCATTTGTACTTTATATTCATTCATCATATTTTCCTTCATATTATTTGTACATGGTGACCAACAAATACAGATTAGTCAGTTTGCAACTTTAGTCCAGTGTACTTTAGAAGAAAAATTATATGGGTGTGGGCTCAGTGCTATATTAATCCCTATGGATTAGATAGCTCTGTGTGGAGAACACTATTGATTTCCTTATTGCTGGCCTAGCCAGGCAACGGTTGTAACTTGTGGTAGTTGTCAGGCTTTTGGTTTCACTATGGATAAATCAAATGGCAACAGAACTGGTACCTCCTCCCTTTCACCCTTTCCTCCACCCCTTCCATAAATGCTGGTAATCTGGACTTTTCTGGACCATAGACTATGCACATCTTGTCCAAAGTACCAAGCATCCCCAATCTAAACATATGTGTGCAGCTCCACGTGGGTCTATCTGAATGTCAGAGGGCAATGGCCCTACACTGGGAAATGGAAAAGGGATGTTCCCACTTCCTGTGCAACCTCCAGAAATCCATTTTATGTGAAATGGTAGCTCCCAGTAGAATGAAGTGGGAAGAACCAAATACCAGCGCTCTGTTCTATCAACCCGATCTCTTCCCACCATTCTCAGCAGCAGGGACGGACAACACAAGACACCCACGGTAAGGCACCCAGAGGTTGTTTCTCGGAAGAACAGTCGATATGTCCTGTTCACAAAGGCCCAGATCCTCTCTTGTTTTCCCCTAGCCGATGTCAGCAACTGCAGCTCAGGGACCAAACAGCCTCTCTGGCCTGCTTTTCTCTGCTTGTTTCATTGGCTCTCGATTTAAGAATGGATTTTACTTATTTCCTTTTAACAAAATGGCTCAAAATGGTTATATAGAGTGTAGGCTGCCTTTTGACCTCAATTTTGCCCAAAGTATTTACTTGCCAGCGCTTTGAGGAAGCATTTCCTGAAGGTTTTCATGCCCCATGGCCCACCCCAGCCATTGTTTCCTGTCTGTAGTACAGTGGAATTAGAGTCTGGATTAGAGTCTCTGTCCTCTGTGCCTTCGCCCTGCACTTTCAGTGCAAGCAGCCAGAATGTAAATAAGAGCGTGACTTTCCCTCACTGAGAGCCTTATAGTGGCTGCTTGTTTTTTTAAATGAAAGCTAAGCTCCCTGCCTTGTTCTTCAAGCCTGAAGCCCCTGAACACCTCTGCTTACCTCTGTCCTCATCACCACCAACTCCCACCTCGACTCAGTGGGTTCTGTAGCTGTCCTCTCAGTTCTTTCTTACATGTGGCCTTTAAACATGGTCCTAGAGAAGACGCGTCTTAGACACAGGGACCTGGTCTTGGTGACATTTCTCCAGGGTGGTGTCTGGGACTTACTAGGCATCCAGCACATGTTTATTGAATGCAAAATAAATGATTTGGAACCTTCATAGCACCCTTGTGCGGTGGGATTTCATAAATTATCACATTATCATTTTATAGGTGAATAAAAAGGCAGTGTTGTGCTTCATGATTGGCGGCATGTGTGTGCACAGGTCCTGGCTGCGAGCAGGATGAGAAGAGTAACCAGATTGATGGATCTGGATGTTGGTACTTGGTTTTGCCCATCTTCTTCTCATTGGAGTCGCCATTTTATTTGAAATGCATTTCAGGAGGTTGCGTGAGGGGTGGGGGACGGACCTTTCACATTGTTGGGTGTAGAGTTGCTGCTCTCCTGATATGCAGGTACACCTGGATGGGAGCCTGAGCTCCGGCTGACTTTCATTCACATTCAGATGCTTCCTTGGGTTGCACCAGGTTCTTTGGTTGACAACTGGAAGAGGAAGGTGGGAAAAGGGAGGGACCTGCCACACTCTTGCAGCCTCCCTGCTCATGTGGAACCTGGGCCTTTATCCATCGTGAATGATCATCTTTCCCAAGCTTTCATCTTCTTATTGTTCCCTTCGTGCTTTTTACTCTATTGATTCTGCTTCTAAACTATATAGCACTTAATGTTTTTTTTAATCATTTCACATTTTGGACTTATTATATATGCCAGTCTGTAGACACCAGACCTTGGCAGGACTCAGAAGGTCCCTCCATGTCCTCCTGGCCCACAGATGAGCCCCTCTTGTCCCTTACCATGTTGCATGAGAAATTCCATGTCACTGATGGTCAGTACATCAAGCAAGCACTCTCTGTGTCCCCTACTTGTGTCCACCTCCTCTTAGCAACTCATCCCCCAAAGCCTTCCCTTGTACAGAAGTGAAAGAAAGGACCAGTCAAGGTCTCACAAAGAGACTGGGAGAGCAGGGTTGAAGTCCTTTCCTTACGTGTGTGTGTGTGTGTGTGTGTGTGTGTGTGTGTGTGTGTTTGTGTCCTCTTCTCCAGGGACAACTCCCTCACCTAAAATGACTTTCCTCTCTCGGGCCAGATCCTTCAGATCCAAGTCTAGGAGGAGCATGGACTTGATGCTTTTGCTCTTTTCCCCAGTGCCGTATGCCTTGAGGGCCCATGTCAAAGCCCCTTACCCATGTCATGGAGTCTCTTGTGGGAAGGATTATTGTGTTGGCCAGAGGAGATAAAAAGAAAATATTTTTTCATGAAGGAAGAAGAGCAGGAATATATGGGTGCACTTCCAAATCAGCAAAAAATGAAGGGTCCTGCTTATTTACTTTTTTAACCCGGTGCAAACTCTTATTTATGCCAACAATGCATCTGCTTTGCTTCCTATTTTCCCCTGGGGCTGATGCCCAAGGCCATGGAATGAAAGGGCTGAGAGTGGTAAGCCATAGGTAAGCCAGCCTGCTATTCAGTATCTTTTCTTATACAACAGTTATTTGTAAACTAATCAATAAACTTTTCTTATTTTGTTTGCTTCTTTAGAACTCTTAGCAGGCGCCTGCTGAACCATGAAGAAACTTAAAATAGCGATGATCTCCCTTTATGCTGCTGCCTCGTTCCCCATAGCCCACTCATGATGTTTATACTCAAGGCCACATGAAGCTAATCTGTATGGAAATAAAGGGCAGAAATATTCAGATTGAGTTTTACTAAGTGAACCTGAGGTTTCTCTGTTCAGCAAAATAGGCCAGGTAAATGCGTTTCTGATACAGAATAAATCACTGGTTTGAAGACCTATATTTCCTTTAGCCATTTTGCTTAGAAGGGAAGAATTCTCAGCCTTCTGCATGGATATGAAAAGCACCAGACCCTCCCTGCAAGACAGTTTCCCGGGTCAGACTCATTTTCCTATTAGGATGTTAGAGGCTGGATTTCAGCCAGGGGCTGGCGATGCAGGGGTCTTCATGGGGGCCAATAAAGGGAGAGGAAAGGATGTGTTTATAGAGCACCTTGCAAGCCAAGTTCCAAGGCTCACTAGGGGCATAGGACCCAATCTCTTGGCTTTGGGAAACAGAATGGCATCACACAGAGTGGCGAATACAAAGTCTGAGGTGTGTGCAGATGTGCCTTGGGCAAGCGAGGAGAGAGCTGAGCAGCAACACAGAGGTCAGGCCCATTTTTCTGAAACACTTGGTGCTACAGTAGGTACCTCGCCCATTCGGTCTTCTGGTCCACCTGTATCTGTTAAATGCAGGCAACTTCTAGGAGCACAGCAGTGAGGAGAACAGACAAGCTCCCTTCTCTTGCTAAGCATATAGTTTTAGTGCATCTTAAAGCATGGACTGGGGTGTGGGGAAGAGGCAAGGGCAGGAGAGGGAAGGCATTTCAAGGCACAGAAGGGCACATGTGTGGAAACAGGAAGTAGCTCTGCGTTTTCTGAAGCTACACTGAAGTCCTTGATGCACCATAGAACCATCAAGGCCGAGGTGGAGAGAAATGGCTGTGGGGAGGTCCTGTGGCTGTTTGCCCAGGAGACCAAGTGAAAAAATAATGAAATATTCTCCGTTCAATGGTCATCCTATATGCTTCCCTCTGGACCTCAGGCATAGAAGAAACACATTTTAGGTTTCTTAGAGTAGGTTCTTTTTTCTCTATGGCTCACGTGTGTCAGCATTAATACTACAGGGAGAAGGTAAAGGGGAAAAGCCATGGCAGGTGCTGATTTGGACTTCAAAGAAGACCTTTGGCCAAGGCCCCAGGTGGCTCAGGCTGGACAGAGGTTGGATCAGAATACTAGCTGGGGCTATGAATAGCCCTTGTTGAATGGTCAGAATCTACCCAGGTGTGAGCATGCCTTCCTATTTACCTATGCATGTGGTAACTGCCAAGTGTTGGCCATTTTGTTCTATGAAAATGTCAGTTCCATATATATATTTCACCTGACCTCATCCATCATAGTTAAGGGCTTTTTATGTTTGTCATCTTGCAATGTCACATCATCTAGTTGAGGCATATACCGTAGGGGTTCTCATTCAATAGCTGAGGTAATTGAAGTTTGGCAAGTTGACATCAATTGCCCAAAGCCATATATAAGCAGAGAATTCAGGGCTGAGACTTAACCCTGCCCAGCATCCATGTCTGACTGTGGGGTTGAGGTTCAAGGCCTCTGCTCCCTCTAGGAGCCTGTGGAGCCATTGGAAGCCATGTGGCCTGTGTGGGCCCTATCTCTCTATGCTTTGAAGCTCATCCGACCATGGGTGTTGAAGTCACCTCATGGGCTGGAACTTCAGGGAACTGGAGGACAAGGCCTAGGCCTTCTGTTGGACACTTAGCTTCTGATGAGGGAGGAGGCCAGGCTGAATCCTGGGTCTGTTTTGAAATGACCCGGTCTCTTTAGGGGTTTTTTGGGTTGACTGTCTCAGCACTTGTGTTCCCCACCTTGTCACACATCCTGCTTTGTCAGGAAATATTCTATGACTGAAGTTAATGCCAAGGTTATAAAGTTGCCATCCCCTTCTCAGATCTTGATCCTCAGCCCTATCACTGGGCAGCAGGGGAATCTGTGCTTATCAGAGTCACACAAGATCCTGGTTGAAGGAAGCTTCCTTTCACCATGTAGTTCTATCATCGCCTTGGCATGGAGAGATTGTATCAAGTTATACACTTGCTTTTAAGTCTTCCCAAGAAAGGACACACAACCCTCATGGTCACATTTCATTGGCCAAAGAAAGTCACATGGTCATAGCTATGTTTAAAGGGAGTTGGGGAATATAATCTTACTAAGTGCCTGGAAGGCAGGAACACAAGATTTGTTTGGGGAGAGTGTCACTGACTTCTGTAGCTGTTCAGAATGGTGGTAAGAATGTGAGCATATCCCTTGGCCATTGGATATGTGGCTGATGGAGAGCTGATTCAGCAGAATGTGAGGCTAAACCAAGAAAGCTCTGACAAAGAAATCATGAAGACTAGTCCAAGTGCAGCACCACCACTGACGGTTGCTATTAGGACCATAGGTTAGAACGAAGTGAGCAAGAAGGTTTGCTTGGTAGCACATCTCAGTATTTTCACTTTTGCTTGGTTTTCCACTTCATCTGACCCCAGAGAGTAGCCCCATTTGATTGATTAATAATCAGCCTTATACCCTTCCTCTAAGAAAACCAACAAGAATTTTGTGGAGAGTCATGCCAGAAAGCCATTCTAGAATCCCTCCCTGAATTAGGCAAGTCAGATCAACATTCTGAAATCTTGCTTTGGACAGTTGTTAGTCACAGGGATGAACTGCATACTACAAAGTGTTATCACTCTGTTAATGTGTTAATGTCAAGTACAGTAAATTTATTAATGTAGTTTATGCGTCTTTGTGCAATAGAAAACATCAATGAGTTCTTTCAAGTTTTGATGTGTCTGATTTTACTAGAACAGTGCTAGGAGACAAGAAAAGAAAGTTACTGACTTAGTCTGTGTTGTGATGTGACATACTTCCACTCTACCATCATTAAAACACCACCTAGCATCTGGAAGCAGCAGAAGTAGTGAATAAAGGAATTAAATAAATGGATCTATCCACACCAGTTGATGTCTTCTCATGTTTTCTTTCTTGTTTAAGCCAAACTATTGCATCTCATATAACTGCAAATAATCAAAGCATTGAAAACATTCACATCATTATTATTTTTATGAATAGCGTCGGTCATCTACTCAACAAATGTTTATTTAGTGTCTATGACGTGCTAAGCAGTGAAAAGTGAACAAGATAAACAAAGGTCTTTGATTTTATAGGAATTATTTCTAGTGGGAGGCATGGGTGGTGAGTGAGTAGACAAATACATGTATGAAGGATTTTTTGGGTAATGAAAAGTCCTTCAAATCAAAACAGAGCAAAGAATGAGGATGGTGAATGACAGTTTGGCTTTAAGGAAGGGAGTCAGGGATGCTTCTCTGAAGAGGTAATATTTGGATTAAGAAATGAAAAAAGTGAGTGAGTCATTAGAAAGTCTCAGTGACGAGAGACTCAGACAGAGAGAGACACAAGTACAAGGACTCTAATGTAGGTTTGAATCTGGTGTGTCTGTGGGCAGGGCCAAAGTGGGCAAGGACAGTGAGGCAGAGTGGAAGACCAGTCTGGAGAGGTAGGCAGAGGCAAGACCCTGAAGGAGAACTTGAACAATCTGGATTATATTATAGGTGTGTCTCAAAATCACTGGAATTTTATCAAAAGGAAAGTGATCCCCCCTTTCTCTTAGGCAACTATGAGAGCTAACTGGAGAGGCAGGATTAGGAGCAGGAAGACCAGTTAGGATGTCTCACGAGTCTCACTTGGGAATCCTGGTAGGCAGCTACAGAGGTGGTCAGAAGAGTCAACTCTTGATAAAGTTTATGGGCAGAGCCAACAAGACTTGCTGATGGATTGGAGGTGAGGAAGATGGAATGAAAGAAACCAGGGCCAACTTCTCAGTGTTTAGATTGAGCATCTGAGTCCATTGAAATGCTCCTTACCAAAAGGGGAAGGAATGAGTTTGGGGCAGGAAATCACAAACTCTGTTTTGCATCTCTGACCTTCAAGGGGCTTCTTAGGCATTTGAGTGAAGAGATCAAATCTGCATGTGCATATAAGAGTTCTGGGGACAGATAGATCTGAAAGGCATGAACTTGGAAGTTATCAGCAAACAGATGGCATTTAAAGCCAAGAGACCTAGAGAATGAGCTGTGTATGAGAAAGAAAAGAAGACCAGGGTCAAACTCTCTTCATGAACCAACATCAAGGATTAAGACCCAAGAATTGGACTGGCCAGTGATAAGAGATCCAAGAAAGAGCCCTGATGGAAAACTAAAAATTCTCAAGAAGAAATGATTTGATTAAGAATCCAAATGATGCGGGAAATTCAAGGACAATTCAGTGGAAGATGTGGAAATGGGAACGATGAGTGATTTCAGGGAGTTTAACAAGAGTTAGTAGAGTGACAGAGAGGCAGACTTTGAGATATGCAGGAAGGGTGGCAGCGAAAAGGGTGGAACCACTAGGAGGAGTGAGAGTGACAAAAAATTTATCTGTGTATGTATGGAAAGGGATCTTGTGGGATGCCTGAGTTCTCAGATTCAGTAGACTGTTGATACTAGAGAGAAAGATAAAAAAATCTTTAGGATAAAGTCCTTGAGTGGCTGGAGGGTGGGTTCATGCAGCAGCAGAGAAAGGAGAGAAGGTCAAGTCTGTGTGGAGATAAGGTAGAAAACAGCAAATGTCCTTCTGATTGGTTCCATTTGTAAAATAAAAGAATCAACACCATCTAATAAGAGTAAGTGAAATTTCCCAAAACAAAGATAATTGTTACACATCACATACATACACACACACAAAAATTGAGTTTCAGAAGTGAGAAGATGATGTCAATTGCCATCTGGATAAGTGGAAAGCAATGATCGAGGACTGTGTTGGCTTTTTGGGGGTGTAGCTGGAGGCCCCCTTGAGTTGCATGGTCATAAACCTAAATCCAGGCCAGGCATCAGAGTTGTGAACTGTTCTCTAGCCACGATGTGATGCTCAGGTACAGGCCCGAAGCAACAGACCGATGAGTCTGAACAGAGATGAGATGCACTGGAGCAGCAGCAGGAAGGAAGAGTGAGGCTAGAAACCTTCTTGAAAGGTTAGACCGTGGACTCCAAAATAGAGAAAGAGGAATGCTAGGGTCCAAATGCTGCGGTTGGAGTCTCTACGGGGACATAGACACTTGTTGGCGTGCAT